GATTTTAGTAGTCTTCTGTTATCACAGCAGTTACACTTACACATAATTAAACTTGAAATCAACATCAACATTACATTACACTGATTTCAACACATATACACCATATTTGCATTCCTTTTTACATACAAAATATTCCATCTACCTAAATGGTACTTGTGCAGTTTGCTTTCCAAAAAATAACATAAACTGTAAACTTACATGATTTGTCACCACCATAAGTACAAAAAAAATATAGTGTGGATGTATGTACAAAAAGTCATTCAACAACAAAACACACTAAATAAATAAAAACTAGATACATTTCAATTTTAAACCAATTAATATGTATATAGTTTTCACCCCTTTTTAATCCCTACATCTATTCTTGGATTGAGATTCCTATATCTATTCTTAGTATACCCAGCTTGATTATATCTTAAGCAATGGTACACCTTGTTTTGAAACTGTGACTCTCTTCACTTGGTGTGTAGTCATCTTGGGGAATGTGTAGTTAGTGGTGGTTCCAAAAAGGTATTGTTTTCATAATCTTTATAATGTATCTTGATCAACTGAGCCATATCAATGATTTCCACCAGAATCATTGTGAAGCTATAAATTTTTCTTGTGCATAGATGCTTTTGTAAATATAGTTACATCTTCAAATATCTGTCCAACACCCATAAATAAATCCTTTCATTTTACTTAATTAACCTCAGGGAGAAATGCAAGAGCATTTTGTGTTGAACATAACAAAGAGGGTGATATACCTTTAAGCTCTTGCCTAGAGGAAGATTCTGGCTGTGACCATAGTAAGAAATCTTCCATCTTACATTCACAATTATTCACAGATTAATACTTCTTTTGCTAAAGTACTTGTCATATAGGAAATAAACCTGAAACAACTAGGAGCAATATATAAATTTATTACTTTACAACTATCCTTCCTGCAATCCCAACTATGACTACAGCAATTTAGCATCCATGTTATATTTTTCAACATTAGCATACTTTTCATCACAAAACAAAAAATAAAAATCAGCATTCACATTACGACTTTCTTTTATTTCACTTAATTTTTTTCAACACTATCTGTGTCTTACTTCATAACTATCCTTCCCATAATCCTAACTATGACTACAATAATTCGGCATCCATATTACGTTTTTCAACATCAACATAATTTTCATCGCAGAACAAAAAAAAATCACCATCCACATTACATCTTTCTTTTTTTTTACTCAATTTTTTTCAATACTTTTTGTCTCAGAAATCATTTAAGATCATCAATAAGATAATCTATAAAATCAATAAGATCTCTTTTTTTCTTAGCTATAGAAGAGAAATGATGTAAAATATCATTTATAAAGATACAAAAATTGTCTTTCGCCCAAGAGAGAAGAGAAGACATAAAAGATAGAGAAGAGAAAAACTTTAAAACTTCAGATTTTTCACGTAGGGGAGGGAAGAAGATGAAAAAGAAGTAATGAATGTAATTACCTATCACTAAGAGGGGAAGAAGATGATGGCTCAGATAACGATTTACTCCACTAAAGACTATGATTTTTTGCTCATAATTTTTATGCACATGAGAGCAGATTTTTCACACCCAAAATGAACAGAGAATGCAAGCAAGAGCTGATATCTTTTAATATTTAGTGGAGGGAAATTCTGTAAAGTTAGGTATATTTTTTATTCCAATTAAGGACCATTGGGATTTCAATATTTTATGATCCTTAATTGGGATTAATGTCTTTAGGGAATCCTTAATTGCCATTTTCCTTTTAAAAAATTCAGAATTCAGGGCAAAAAGCAATGGGTTCTTCTTATAAAGCTGTTGGGAGAGGATATACTACCTTTCAAAAAGGATTCTGGTTCGAATCAAAGAAGAAACTCTAATTTGCTTTATTCAATCCGTGCGATTCTTAGCTGGATCCGAAACTATTCTGCAAACTGGAATCTCAGGGAGCTGCCCATCTCCCTTGTTGGTTATCGAAAAAACTCCCTCAGGACGCTCGGCGTATGTGGTGATTATTGCTCTGCGGATACCTGGCTTCTGGACATATCTCTTTTGCTCTGTCACTTTCCTAAATGTTTCTTCTTTGCATGTGATGCCAACTCCTTCAATTTCTCTTTTTCACCGGGCACTGTTGTGTCCATTTAATTTTTCTGTTTTTCGTTTTCTTTTACTTCTTTTTATCTCGCATCCTTTTTTTTTCATGATTATGATATTGTTCTCCTTCAAAAAAAAAAATCTATCCCCTCATGAACATTGTTGTGCTATCTTTTATTCACATCGTGGTTATTGTATTTTAAATTTAATTTTTTTAATCCATTTCATTCGTTTCATTCAGCAAATGGGCCCTTAATTGTTACGAACAAGAGCGCCATACACACACATTTAAAAAAAAAAAAAAAAGAGGAGCGCCGCGTGTAAACGGATTCAAAGAACGAAGGGGCAGTCCCATTTATCCAGCCGTAAATATCTTATATCCAGTGTGCCATCAGCAATAATCCATGTGCTAAGCCACACGTTACTCCATTCGCCACCTAAGCAAATTTCAAAGCAAATTTTAATTGCGTTACTTTTATGTCATAGTCCTTCATTAAAATGCCAAAGAGCGGGGATTAACGTTGGCCGAAAAAAAAAAGTAAAAAAAGAGAGGTGCTGTGGTTAACGGCCCAATGTTCTTAAATTTTTTTTTTCCGGCCTTTTAAAACTTAAGTGGGGCGTCAAAATCCCATTCGCCATTCTCCTCCAGAGACATGTAAACCGGGACGATCAGAGTTACCTCGGTCCGCTCGTGGATATTCAAATCAAAGTCTGGCAAGCATTTTATAATAATAGTAGTAGTATAGAAAAAAAAAAATATAATTATTAGTCTCTATAATTTTAATATATTTTGATATGGGTTCATATAATTTTTTTCAATTGCTTCAAGTCCTCTAGTTTATTTTATTTTCAATGGTAGTCCATTTTATTTTTGAATATGCTCAAATGAAGGACAAGATGACATTAATAATGTTAAATATGCTAACATATGACTAACATTATGAATCTTTGAGCTGAGGTGGAATAACAATTTAACATATTAAAACATGAAACAGGACAAGTGAACAACACTATTAATTAATTTGCCAAATCATAATTGCACTTCAACACATATTAAGTCTGTTAGTTATATGTCAATATATTTAACACTGAGTGATATCTCATTGTGTTTTAGGGATATTATAAAATACAAAAACTCATGTTGTAGACCAGAATAAGCAAGGGGGAATTGGCGTGACAAAAAAAAAAACTATAAAAAGCTATATTAAAACATGTTAAAATGATAGTTATACACAACAACACCACCACTGCCACCGCCACCGCCACTCTAACCTCCTCTTTATATTACCTTAATTAATTTTAATTACCTCTCTTTTATTTTTAAAACTCATATATTTTTCCCCTAGCATAAAAAATTACAATGCACCAACACTCCCTCTATTTTTAAGATTTCATTTTCATCTACTTAAATATTAATTAATCAATAAGTCATATATGTCAGACCAAAACACCCCTATTAAAATATAAATATTTTAACTATTAATTAATCATTAAGTCACATATGTTAGATCAAATACTCCTATTTAAATATAAATATTGTCTAAGAATCATTCAAGTTCGCTAAGAAATTAAACCATATATTTTTTTACTCTTTTATTTGTATTTTAAAATTTTAAGTTATGTAAACTCAATTATTTTAGTAATTTTTTAAAATATTAAATACATAAATTAGCTAAAATAATAAAATATGGATTTAATATAATAAATTATTGAGTAAAATAAAATGACCTCATTATATTAATTAATTTATCTCTCATTATATTAATTTTATAACTATTTTTCCCAATAAATTTTCATTCCTATATGTTTGAAATACTCTCTCAATTTAAAAATGTAAGGCATTTTTTTAAAAGTTGGATGTTCAAAATATAAGGTATTTTTAATCTTTCGAGGTGTAATCACTATTTTTTTTTAAATTGTCCCTATTGATAAATGACTTTATATTTATTATAGAGTGTTTAATAAGGATAAATATAAAAAAAATAGGGTTAGTTTGAAAGTAAGTAACTACTTTATTGAGGGAGTGAGATTCAGTTAAAAATGTCTTATATTTTTGAATGGAAGGAGTATTATTTTTGTCAACTTATATATTTAAAATTAAAAAATAATATATAAATAAGTTTATATAAATGAATCTTAAACTTATATATTGTATAAATAATTTTATTTATATTTAATATTGCTTGTGTTCAGTTTATATATTATAATTATCGTTTGAAAACTTAAATGACACTTAAATAACATTTATGTTATGGAATGATATTTAGTCAAAATATATATGATTTAATAGTAGTTAATGGTTGGGTGCATGGAAATGAAATAATTTTTATAGAGGGGTATATGTTATGTAAATTTTGATATTAAGGTCTATATAAGTTTTAAAAATAGAAGGGGTCTCTGTAATTAAGCTAAAATAGAAGGAAGGTTGGTGTATCTTACTCTAAATTATTCAGTATAATTTATGTTTATTTTTCTTGAAATTTTCATTAATTTTGACACAAAAATTTCAAATGATTTATTTAAATATACATATACTTAATTATTTAAAAGTTTTTTTAACTTGGGGTGAGAGAGAGCTAGAGTAGACAGTTTGATTATAATGAAAAATTAACAATTTTAAATTTTTCAACATAGTTATAAATAAAAACTTAAGTATTTTAGAATATTTAAAAGAATATTTATAAAAATTAAACTAAAATGTAAATTTTGAAAACAGATGGTTAATCTATGTAATTTGATCGAAAATGAAAGGAGTGTTACTGTATTTTGATTTTAATAAGATAATCATTAATATATTATTGTTGGTTTGTTTTGGCGGCTGTGGAATAAAGGTGTTATTATTTGGCAAGTCTCGTAGTTTATAAAAGGCAATAATGGGGTCACTCTTGCCGATCCATATCGTCCCCGCTTTCTTCTCTTTTCCGCCCTGGGTCTCTTTGCTCCTCCTACTTTTGCTCTTTTGATTTTGAATTTGTCCATTGAAAAGAAAAAACTTATTAAGACTAGAGTCATCATGCCTTCTCCTGCTACTACTGCCACGTCATCAGGTTCCGGCCAAACCATATGCGTCACTGGCGCCGGCGGCTTCATCGCCTCATGGATTATCAAGCTTCTCTTAGAGAGAGGTTACACTGTTAGAGGCACCGTCAGAAATCCAGGTTTTTTAACATGTTTTTATAATAAAATAAAATTCTTTTTTTTAAGTCAATTAATTATTAGCTTTTAGGAATGTTGTTATATATAAGTGCTCCAATGAAATTTTTGTGTAGTACTAACATGCTATAATAAGTCATCAATATATTTTATATAATATATTAATAATTTGAGAGTCAATATATGTTTTAAAATTTTAAAAACTAATATGATATTAAAAAAATAAAAAAAATTAAATTAATAAAAATTAAATTTGAAAAACTAAATTAATAACTGAGATAAATTTAAGAGATTAAAAATTTTTATTATCCCAAAATATTTTAAGCAAAACTTCAAATTTAAAAGATATTTTATTTTCAATTTTCAAAACGGACTAATAATATGTGTATATGCTCTATTATTGTTTTCACCCTTCTATAAAAAAAATATGAGATAATATTAATTACAACAAATTTATGTTGCACATATTTTAAAATATTACAGAATAAGACGGTTATGTTTATTATGATGTTATTACCCCCCTTTAATTTTTCATTATAATGTGTTATTATCCAAAATTGAGGCTATCATTAGCATATGGGCTAAACAAAATCCAATTTAGCTAAACCTCTCAAGGGCCTATTTGTTTTCACTTATTTCATGAAAAAAATCACTTATTTTTTAAAAGAATTTATTTGCTGAGTTTTTATTTTGTTTGCTTAAATTTTTTAAAATAATCATAATAAAAAATTGATTATTTTAAAAAATTATTTTGAGTAACTTTTGAAAATAATCTACTGCGATAGATAAAAAAGTATTTTAAAGAGATGAAATACAAAAAAAATCATAAAAATTTAAAATTATTTTGAGTAACTTTTGAAAATAATTACTTTTTATTATTGTAACCAAATATAAATATTTCTTCTTTTTATAAAATATTTACAAAATAAATTTTTTTATAAAATCTTTAAATTACCTAAAAATTACTTACTTTTTAATCTTAAACAAATGGGCATTAATTCCAAAAATTTCATCTGCTTGATGCGGATAAAACAGAAGCACCTAATAAAAAAATATTTTTCCAAATTTAATTACTTTAGCCATTATTTACAGTAAAGAGACAACACGAGATGATAAGGGTGTTTAAAACCAAGTACATCTAGCTATACCAAACTAACCAATCAAAATTGATTAAAATTAATCATTAATGAGGTCTGGTTTGGCTTTAAGTATATATTTATGGGACAAGACTTATATACTTAGTCTTAAATACTTAATATGCTTTTATCCAATCAAATCATGACATGTAAATTTTAATATGTTAATAATATTAATAATTAACAAGAATTTGTTATAGATTAAATAATCTATAAAAGAAGCATATGTCTTGATTTGATTGAAAATAAATATCTTAAGTATATAAGGCTAAGTATATAAATATTTTCCATATGTATAAACCAAATGGTTTAGTTTAGGTTTTGGTTTGAACCTCTAAAATCTGAAAGAAACCTGAACCACACTTTTTTTAAAATTTCTAATACATTTTTTACGCAGTCAATTTAATTAATATTAGTATTTAACATTAATTGAACTCGCTGATATCTCAAACCCAGTCCAAAAAAAATATGGTATTTTCTTTTAGATGATTTCTTTTTTTTTTTTTTGGGGTAAATCTTTTACATGATTTCACATGTAGGAACTTTCACTTTTTGATTACATTTCATTAATTATAGGCTTTAACACAAATTGTAATGAAATTTATCTCGTGCTACTAATTTATTCAAATATAATGTTGATGATGTGGAAAATTTGTTAACTTAGGAGTAAAATCTCTGCAAGTATATTCAATCCAATAATTTCTTTTGTTGTAGAAAACAAATTCAAGAGATCAGATTAATAGTAAAAGAGGGAGAATAAAAACTTAGTCTTCACATACATCTCCCCCCCTCCCCCTCCCCAACAAAAAAGAAATTCAGTGAAGACATGAAGTGTGATCTATACATCAACAAGACCAATAATCCAAATGAACCACTATAAAAAATCGATGAAGTTTATTTATTTAATTTAATTTTTTTTACCAAAATCAAATAGTTTAGTTCGGTTCAGTTTTTCCCCTAAAATTGAATCAAACCTAACCTTCGAACGCCCAAAATAATATTAATAATTGAAGTTTAAAACTTTAATTGAAACCTAAATTTAAAATTGGTAAGATTCTAAGACAATATTATCTTAATAAGAATCCTAGCAAATTATTATTAGGATAAAATATACTTGTTTTTTTAATGATTAACTCCCTCCCTAAAGATTTTTTAAGGCTTAATTTCACCTAACAGCAACTGAGTTTTATGATATCAAAATTTATTTATTAAGTTGTTTATCAGAGAGGCTGATTTTTTGTTTTTGGTCGATATGCATGGGTGCTTGTAAAATTTGGTGGTGATGGTCAGATGATTCTAAGAACGAACACTTGAAAAATCTGGAAGGAGCACAGGAGAGGCTAACTCTTCATAAAATTGATCTCCTTGATGATCTCAAGTCCATGAAAGCTGTTATTAATGGCTGTGATGGTGTTATTCATACCGCCTCTCCCATCACAGACAATCCTGTAAGTCTGTCTTTATCTTTTCTTCACCTTTTCAAGTCATATGAAGTAGAATAATTTAGTTAGATGCATATATTTAAGTATGATATTATTAATAATTATCATTACCATCTCATGATTGGTTAATGGCTGATGGTGGGTCCCCCTATTCTTTCATTCCCTTTCTCTTTGATTCAATGGGCTCAATGATATTCTGAAAAAATTTAAGGATATTACACCATCTTCTATTTAAATTAATTTGAACCCTCACTTTGTGAAATCATTATTACTAACAATAACTTTATAGATATCTTGGGAATACTTTTGAAATATTTATTTAAGAGTTAAGATGTATTGTTTGCCCCTAAACTATCCCAAATTATGTATCATAACAATTTTACCATTAAAATAATATTAAAACATAGTATATTTTTTCTTGATGTTAAATATTCTAACATTGGCTATCATTAAAAATACAGACTAGGACTTAGGTCTGACTCTAAAATAAGCTAATTCAACTTTTGGACCAGCTGAACCCAACACTCCTCGGTTCTTTCATTTCCTAATAACTGAAAAAAGAAAGAAATTAAGTGTGATTGATTTAGAGAACCTATTAATAAAAGTACTTGAAAATGCACATGCACGAGGATGATGCATAAAAATCATATAGGAAGAGATGCTGAAACCGGCGGTAAATGGAACAAAGAATGTGATGACAGCAGCTGCAGAAGCAAAAGTGCGTAGAGTTGTGTTCACGTCATCTATTGGAGCTGTCTACATGGACCCCAATAGGAGCATTGACATGGTGATTGATGAGTCTTGCTGGAGCGATTTGGAATATTGCAAGAACACTAAGGTACGTCCTATGCACTTCCCTTTCATTACCTCTTAATTTATTAAGAAAATTAATTTGCGGATGCTTATAGTTCATTGTATTTTAGTCAAGTCCTTATATTTTGATTTATTAAATATGTTATTTTAAAATTATTAATAAATTATTAACTTTCTCAAAACAAAAACACATCTAAAGTTTATAGAAAATATAATTTAATACTCTTGATAAAAAATTAATTTTATTGTTTACATTTTTATTAAAATATTTTTAAAATTGTATGTGTAAAAGATAATTAGAAGACATAATATATTTAATTATATAAATTTCGAGTCATAAAAAATACGTACTCAATTCTAAAGTTATATAATATTTTAATAAAAATTAATTTTTTTAATTTTAAAAAGAATATTATATGAATTTTATATCCTTAAGGGATTAACATATCTAATAGATCTATAAAGACTTGATTAAAATAAAATAAATTACAGAAATATAATTTTAAATCAAGAAAAAATATAAAAATATGTAGATTAATTTTTTTTAATATATACTCTGTCCATTAAAAAATATAAAATATTTTTTGAGAAATTGAATGTTTAAAAATATAAGATATTTTTATTTTTCTGATGTATAATCATTGCCTTTTTTTTAAAAATGTCTCTATTGATAATAATTTTATATTTATTATAAGGTATTTAATGGGGGTAAATATGAAAAGATAAGATTAGTTTAAAAGTAGGTAATAACTTTATTGAAGGATGAGATTGAATTAAAAATATCTAATATTTTTAAACGGAGGGAGTAGATGTTATACATTTTCATCTTGAAATTTATGAAAATTTTATAATACTATATATACTTTCTAATCTCAACCCCATATGTATAAAAATTATGGCCACGCCTCTATCATTTTTGAAACTATATAGAGAACTGTAGCTATTTCCACGCCTACTAATTTGAAAAGATGGGTGAAGAGAGACACACTTGTGTGCAGGGACACTAAAATATTTTAGGGAGAATTACTTTAACCTTTCACTCAATAAAATTATTTACTTCCAAATTCATTGATAATTGAATTTAAAAGAATAATAAAACAATGTGGCAATGAATCTAAGAATAATTAATTATTTAGAATGAGACTTCTTCGCAATTCTCCCAATATTTAAGGTACTTTGTTTTGTTGCATTTCGTTTACATTTTGTATCCAAAGAAAAGACTCAAACCAAACTAAGATAAAATAAACCATTAGGATTATTAGTTCTAAAACTAAATGGCCAACACCTATTCGCAGTTTAATAAAACGCTATATGTTTTTGGTAGTATAAGATATGTAGTAGTATTAGACATTCAATATACAAGCACATATACACATAAATAAGGATTACTTCAACCACTAAATGGCCCAAACACACAATTTTTTTTTACTCCTTGTGTTTGGATAGACAAAACAAAATAGAGGGAAAAAAATCAGCAAAATACCATAATGACTATAATATTCCAGTATCAAATATATCATGTTTCATGTAATTATATATCTATATAAAACTAAATTGAAAGCATAAATTATATTAAAACTAACACCATCAGATTTTGGTTGTGAGAATGAGAAAAGCCTTCAATAACTAAATCCATTACTTGAATAAAAGTTGGGCGGAAATTAATTACTGCTTAACATGAAATTTATCAAGTAGACTTCTCTCTATTAAGACATGTAAAGGAAAATTCAGCTCTCAATTTTTGCATACACGTAATCATAAAATACATGAAAATGTGTGTTTGCGTAAGTTTACAAGTCAAGATCTCTATATCATATTGTAGGTGAATCGAAGCTTTGAATGGGTTTGTATTTCTGTATCTACAGTCAGTCCTCAGTAGCCCATTTGACATATTTAAATGCCAACTAAATTTCTAGGACCACTCTATTATCTCGTCGGGTGGCTTTGACCAGTCCTTGAGCCTAGTTGTTGACAATATTATGAATGTCAACAAGAAAATTAATAAAGGCATAGTGGTATGTTCTTGTAGCAGTGTGTTTAAAATAGTTGTTTTTAGGATTTTTAGAAAAATATCCCCATTTTTTTTAAAGTATTTTTCTTACACTAGTTGAGAGCTTTTAAAAGTGTAGAAAGTCCACTTTTCTACACTTATTGTAAGCTTTATCCAAAGTAGAAAGTTCATTTTCTACAGCTGTTAGAGAGTAAAACTGGTGTAAAAAATTAGTTCATTTTTTACATTGATTCAAAGACTTTTTACACTAATTACTTCTACATCATTTTTAGAACTAGTGTAAAAAGTCTTTAATTTATTAATTAACCAATTTAAAAAATCTTCCTTGCAGCAGTGAAATCTGTTCGCAATTAATAAAACATTGTATGTTTCAATTGTACAACACTTGCAATAGTATTAGACATTCAAAATCCATATAAACATATAGTACTAAATCCAACCAAATAGTTTGAAGGTTCTTGATAAATGAGTTACACCAAATACAATGATTGGATAGCACTTCAAGCTAAGTATGATAGGGTTTGTATTTGTGGTAAACTTTATAGTATGAGTGTTTTGATATATTTTTTCAAAAACATGGTGTCGGCTTATATAATTGATTATTTAAAGTATCCAAACATGCATGCATATAATGAGGGATGAATTTTGTAGAATTGGTATTGCTATGGGAAGGCAGTGGCAGAGCAGGTAGCATGGGATGAGGCAAGAGCAAGAGGGGTGGACTTGGTTGTGTTGAACCCGGTTTTGGTGGTGGGACCTTTGCTCCAATCCACCATAAATAAGAGCACAATGCACATTCTTAAGTATCTCACAGGCGCTGTCAAAACCTATGTAAATGCCACTCATGCTTATGTTCATGTTAGGGATGTGGCATTGGCCCATATTTTAGTTTATGAGATTCCTTCTACTTCTGGTCGTTACTTATGTTCTGAGAGGTCACTCCACCGTGGAGAGGTGGTTGAAATTCTAGCCGGGTACTTCCCAGAATACCCAATTCCTACCAAGTAAGTCCATTTTTTTTCCCTTTACAGAAGTCAACAAAAAGTGTTTCTTGTTTTATAATGGGAAAATTAATTTGTGCCTCCTTCTAATTTTTATCAATTTTGAATTAGGTTTCTATAATTTATTTTATTTTAATCAAACCTTATAGTTTGACCGATTATAAATATATTAGTACACATTGAATGTTAAAATTATTAATGAATAATCAACTTTTCCAAAATAAAAAAAAACTTTTAAAATTTATAAAATATTGATTTAATACAATTAGCAAAAAAAAGTAAATTGAAAATTTGATTTAATACATTGTTTACATTTTTATTTTATTTTTTACGAAAATTCTATATATATATATATATAAGTTATTTAGAAAACATAACCTAATTATATAAATTTTTGACTTATAAAAATTATGTAATTAATTGTAAAGGTATATAATATTTTAATAAAAATATAAAAGTTAATTTTATTTAGGGATCAATATATTTAATTGATATCAAACTATAAGAAATTGTTTAACATAAAATAAACTACATAGACCAAATTCAAAATTGAGAAAAACTAGGAAGGTTTGGGGATTAACTTTCCCTTTTAAAATATCAATGTTCAAACGTGATTCTTCTAAATAACTTCATGGACAGATTCTCTAATGATTATTGAATATGTTTAAAATTGTAAATGCTTTTCACTTTGACACTGTTAAATTTAATTGTGATATATATTGGCTCAAGTAGATGTTCAGATGAGAAGAATCCAAGAGTAAAGCCCTACAAATTCTCTAATCAGAAGCTGAAGGATTTAGGGTTGGAGTTTACCCCAGTGAAGCAGGCCCTTTATGAAACTGTCAAGAACCTACAAGATAAAGGCCATCTTCCTCTTCCTTCCATGAAAGTTGAAGCTGTTGAGATTAAATCCTGGACAGCTAGACTCTAAGAATGCAAAATAGTTACCAACAAATTAGTTATTCATTATCCCCCACTATTAAGGACATAGGTATTTACTTTTTTTTTTTTCCAATTTGAGGTAGAACCATAGTTTAAGTATAAGGAGAGCATGATTAAAACAACATATACTGTACAAAGTTTTCATGAATCTTAAGGGTTTTTAAATTTATAACATAATTATAATATAATATTAAGAAAAAACTTGGGAGAATGACATTTTAAAGAACCAAAACAATGAATTTATGATAGTTAGGTTTCCAACAAAATTTTTTAAAAGATCAATTGTAAATATATAATTAGACAGTTATAAATTTAGTAATTCTAACTATAAATAAGATATTTAAATTTTAAATATAACTCTCAATTTGCAGTTAGGATGTTTGTTTGTAACTATTAATTTGAAAAAATATTTGCAACTTATTTTTTAGAAATTTTTTTGAGGACTTAAGTGATGTAAATTTCTAATTTTGGGACTTTATTGTCATTCATTAAGAAAAAAAACTCAAAAGTTTGGCTGTGAGCTTGTGACCTTCCCCTCCCTTCACTATTAGTTTAAGCTATTTAAAATATATATAGCACTACTAAAAAAAATACTTTTTGGAATGCTTATTTTTTTGCTTACAGGAACATTTCAAAAGTGCCGTCGTAGGCTCCCCTAAGTTGAGTTTTAGTGGAAGCCTAAGGAAGCGCTCCCATAGGCATGGGAGCTCTTCATTGAGAAAGTGCTTTCATAGGCTATGGCTATGGGAGCGCTTCCTCATAGTTATATATATATAGTTTAAATTTTGAATTTTATCTGCATTTCCTCCCATAGCTCATTTACAAATGAGAAAAGTTGATAGAGTATGGGTCTTATATGTCCAATAGGGCTAAGAGGCCCACAATGCAAAAGTGGTGAGCCCACAATGCAAAAGTGGTGAAATAAGGCTAAGAGGCCAACAATCAACCAATGGCCCAAAACATAAAAGGATCACATAGATGATTGCATGGATGATGACATATCCCTTGATTTCTCTAAATTAATTAGAAATAATTTAGATATTAGTTTAACATTTTATTTAAGTTTTTTTTCCTATTTCTAGATTATGATTTGTCTAATAATGTAATCACATGATTTTAGGAGATACAATCTCTAGATTATGTGGCTGAATTTTATTATTTTATTAGCATTTTTGTCCAAACTAGGATTTCTGAATTAGGGTTTTTAAGTTTTGAGTAAGCCTATATATAGGCATATACTTCTTCATTGTATGGTAAGTTTTGAATTAGGGCCCAATTTCACAAATTCATCAATATGGCCAAATTTTCAACATTTAAACATTCCAAACACACAGTCATGCACTTACACTAGTATCTTAACTATGTAAAGGGCATCCTAAATTTGGACTTAGATCATCACACTAACTATAGTTAATCAAGACTTATCTAAAAGGATTATCCAATATGAGATTAACCTAAATAAATTCTTAACATGTATTTTCACAAACGATTCAAAACAAAGGGATCCCAAGTCTTTAAAATATTTCAAGAACTTATATCATTTAATTAGACATATGCGGAAGCATGATAAAAGAAACACATCAACATGAAAGAAAAGCTTCCCCCTTTATTTTCTCTCTATGCCTTACTCCACAATACATATGTACATATTTACAACATAACACTTGGCCACTCAAACCCTTTCATAACTGGCAACAGGGGGCCAAAGTCTCAATCACTATCACAATGACTATTACCTAATCATCATACTCTATATATCATCTATTCATCAATAGCCCATCATATGCATAAATTTTTCTTTTCATTCATATATAATTAATATCAATTGCTTACCCTTGGACATAAAAACATAAGGGGAGGCCATAACAACATTCTAGTTCTTAATCTAAGCAGATATTAACTATTTCCACTTGCACAAATATTTTAACCCATTAATATAACACAAGCATCAAACTACATTCCCAAGGGCCCAAAATACATTTTCACCCAACACAAAACCCATAATGCAAGTGGAACAAGAATGTATTATCCTAGTTGGCAATATCATAAACCAAATACACATATTAAAATAAAAAGAGAAAGGCCTAAGAAGTGATTACTATCACTTGGCCTAATGCTCCTTTCCTCTATTCTTTTGAGATGAGCTAGCTCTTGTAATATGTTAAAAGAGAGGGGTGAGTATAACTACTCAGTAACTAAGATACATCTAAGTTATATATATGCATGATAATTAATCATGAATGCAAATGGCTAATAAATTTATCAAGGTGACTATGTAAACAATCACATTAATAACATGTTAATCACATTAACATCTAACTCATGTGAATAATCTCAAGAATAAAGTCAAGTATAAATTTTGCACAAATGGCCACATATACATTATTTGCATAATTATTACATGTTTTCATTTCTACAATTGTAATCATATTCTCAATATAGCCATCAATCACTCAAATGGCATGATAATAATAATATGCATGATCAATCTCTTCCTTATATCCTCCCTTATTTCCTCTGATATGAAATCCATGGGCCAACAACCGAAAGGGATCGTCTATGTGATGAGACTACCCAAGGCCTTAATCATATCGTCAGGGACTACCGGGTTAGGGTTACCTTACTCACTTATGAACATGGTTTCTCCCAAGTCACACACTATAGGGTGTCATACCTAAAACTAGCTCTACCCAAAACTCCAGGTAGGCCAGTAGGGTCAAGTCCTTTAATAGGAACAATGCTACAGTACCTTACAAGGTACGTAGCGGCTATAACCCCTAGGATTATTGGTTAATAGCCAAGTACCATATGAATTTTGTATAACCGCTAACTCCTTCACTAAGGCGAACTCCCGCCATATGATCATGCTCATGAGAAAATGCATTTCAAAAACTCATATATATGATTCACAATTGTCCCACATACTCATCAACTTTCTTGCTCAATAAACATCAAGAATCATCATATTTCAATCATGCCTCTTGCATCAATTTTTTGTATTATCACATAAAACCACATTAGCATCATATAAAACTTAACATGTTCATATACAATTCATCACTATGCATAATCCACAATTTATAATCAAGGATGTGCACATCATCATCAACCATCAATCTCATTACTCACACCAAGTCACAATTAACTTGATCAAAAATCATAAGGTCTCAACAAAGCCATATGCATCACAACCAACTATTTCAAATTATATATATATATATATATATATATTCTTTTGTTTCACTAACATAATTAATTAGTTAACATATAAATGCATAAAATAAATTTTCCCCGGTTACCTCAACCTTTAAAAGGTCAAAGGTTACCCTTTAAGTTACAACACTTCCAAAGCTTTCCAAAGCTTGAATGGTGTCAAAAAGAAATTAATCTACAATTGATCATATCCTAATGTGTCAAAAATATTATTAATACAATTTTCACTCATACTCTAACACCTAAGTATTTATTTCATTTTATTTCATTTTTTAAGACCTTAGTCTTAGCCTCTTGAGTTCTAAAATTTAATTTTATGTATTTGAACCTATCTACTTGATTCAATAGCCTCCTTCACCATAATTTCATTGAAGTTTAGCTAAAAACATCATTCAAATAATTTTCTAATATCAAAATTTCCCTTTTCATTCCAAAAATTCGCACATGAAAATACCCAAAAATTGCAAACTTGATCTCAAGCTTAGAATCATTATTCTATAGCCATAATAATTTATTTATTATCTCAAATAATTATCTAAATATTATACTAGAATATTTATTACACTATCAACAACCTTAATAACCAGACTTACTCATAAAAAATTCATCCCTCTTTCAAATCCTAGGTTTTTCAAAATCTCAAAATTTGCAATCTCAAAGAAAAAAATGACTAAGAAAAAATATTTAAAATACTAACCTAGTCTTAGAATACTTAAAATCTCATTTGAAGTATTCTATTATAGAGTTTCACCTTCTAAATCAACTTTCATTGCAGCGTCGCTTGCTCTCTTACTCGCTCTCTATGCGCGAATGTAGAAATGAAAAGGAAGAAGAGAAATGAAAAGCCAAAAGGCTTTGTTGGCCTTTTTAAAAATAGTATGGGTCCCATTACCTCTTTCTTCCTCTCTTTCATATATATATATATATATATATATATAATATCAAACTCACACACACATGTCTGTGTTGTTGTTCCCTTCTTCTTGTTTTTTTTTATATATGTACACATTAAACACACATGCAGACATTCCGCCCCACTTCTTCATTTTTGTTTTATTTAATGTTCCTTACTTCTTCTTCTTTTCTATTTTTTATAATAATGTTATTATCATCTCTATTTTCTAAAAAATATAACTTAGGATTTAATCTAAATTAAATCCAATAATAATTTTTAACTAAAATTATTTATATCTAAATATTCCACCAAAATTACTCATTTTCTCTAAATTAACTTAATTAACCTTTGATTAATTTTTGGAATGTTACAACATACACACACTACTATAGAATTTAAAATGTTTGATACCAAAATATTTGACGGTTATGGGTATAAATGTTGAATAAGGGTATGCGGAGTTTGGGGAGCCAAATATTTGACGGTTATACTTTTAATTGTTAAATCTATATTGCTTATATTTAATGGTTATGATTTAAACAGTCAAATTTACTTAGCAAATTTAAAATAATAAAAAATTAAATTACATATTTGACAATTTTAATAATCATAGTAAAACTTGTGTCAATTTGTTTTATGGTTATTTGTTAAATCGTCAAATATAACATTTAAAAAACTCCCTTTTCACTTCTCACAACTTGTAGGTTCTCATTTGACCTTCTCTTGTATCTCCTTAGGCAAACCTCTTCCCTTCATCTTTGTGCAATCCACCTTCACATTCACACAAGCATTCACTCCTCCTGACATTCGCTCACATTCACATGATACTCCCTTCATGTTGAAACTCGAATCGCTATCACATTTGAAACAAATTATAGAGGAAGCCAAGAACAGAGCTTCAACTGAGGATAATGAAGACAATAACAAAA